TCCATCGCCAGCCGTGAAAATAGTCACCCGAGCTGCCCCTCGTGCAGCGCAAACTTAGCTGCGCTGCCATCTCAGCACGCACCGGCGACGCACGGACAAAAATGGTGCCGTGCGGAACGACACAAACATGAACATAAGAGTTCAGGCAGCGGGCCCTTGCCCGTCTGCCACAGAAAAGCTGTGCTTTCAGCGAGCGCTCGTTTGCTACAGTCGGACGTAGGACAGAAAAACATCATTCAAGAACATGGGAGCCTCCGCCAGCCCAAACTGAAGAACATTATACGGTGCCCTCCCCCAAGATGCACAAGAACATCCAACAATCACGAAGAACATCAGGGTACCCTCCCCGAACCAACATCGATCATATACCTCGGTCCGACCGTAGCACACGCTGTCGCACCGCGGGGAACGCCACCCACCTTTGGAAATCAGTGGGGGGGCAGCAAGCATGGCAGGAAGAACCGCCGTCGGTACCGGAGAGCCCGTCCGCCCTGCTCCCGGCCACACGCAGGAGCGACCCTGGGCAAGAGTGACCGTTGGGGGCGCGGTTTCCAAGGGGCGCAGGGGGGGAGCAAAACCAGAGAGCGCAAGCCGCTGCCATCGCATCCCTGTCAGCTGCATGGGGGCCCCGGTGCGCCCGCAACAAGGGCCCTCCGGCGAAAGGTCACTCTTGCGCGCAGCCGGCGGTTGCGGCCAAGCCCCGCCGGGGCGAAGACCGGGGCCCGCGCGCTCGACGCACTCGAAGTGTGGAGCGCCGCGCGCTGCTCGGCATCACCGGGGGGCACCTGGCCAGGGCCGTCGGCTCGGCGTGTCGCGGCGGCGGGCCCTGGCGACACGCCGCGCCCTGCAGGCGGACGGCGCGTGGCTCCGCCCCGCGGGGCGGGGAAAGGCTCGGGACGCCGAGCAGGATCATGAATTCACAACATCGAAGCGAGGAGGCGGATGGAATCGGGAACAAACGCGTCGGACCGGGCCGCGCCGGCACCGAGTCGGACTCGGCGGCGCCCGGACGCGCAGCAACGCCACGGAAGCAGCGGGCCGCATCGGATCGCCAGAAGTCTCTTGAAACAACGCACAGAACACACACACACACACACACACACACACACACACTTGAAAAAACAAGCACGGAAACAGCACACAACAACACGCGTGTGTGTGTTACTTGTTCCACAAGTCGAGTCGGATCGGGCCGGCCGAAGCCAAGATCGAGTCGGAACGATCGGATGAGTGCGGACCCTGGCGTGCCGCGCCGCAGCATGGTGGGCCAGGCCCGGCGGCGCGGCGCGCCGAGCCAAGAGTTCCTGGCCGCAGAGGTCGGGGAACGCCGCTCCGAGCCGGGCGTCGCCCGAGGGCGGCGCCGTGGGGCGCACGGGGCTCGCCGCGGGAGCGGCCTCGCAAGGCGCGGGCCAGGGGCTCTCCGCTCAGGGGTGCATCCCTGACCCCCTCGCACTGCGAAGAATTCACGACGGGAGATTTGTCGCTACTCTTTGCCTCCGGGGGCCCCTACCCCGTCAAAAGACAATTCAGGATGAGAAGCGGTCCCGGGGAAGGGGTCCAGCCCTATGGGGGTCGCGTCATGGAAAATTCATATCGTCAACGCCGGGGGTCAGGGATGCTCGACTGGGGCATGTGGGCCCGGCCCCAGGAGCAAGAGCTGCAACTGCTGCGGGTGCCCGTGGCTCGTGCCACAAAGAGGAAATTCGGCGGCGAGCCCTGGGGGGTGTTGGAAACGAGTTGCCCTGATCAGGAGGCTCGGGAATCCCCCGACCTTCTCGGAATTTGTCTCAGCCCTACCCGAATCGGGAGCGGCCAAGAGGGGGGTGTCCAAGAGGGGGGGGTGCAAATCATGACCGGCGGCATGTGCGCGGCCCAGCGAGGGGGCCAGGGACGTAATGAATTAAGAAGAGGCGCCATGAGATCTGGGGAAATATCATGGCCCCCGCCATGATATCCACCCCCCCCCTAGTCATCACCCCCCTCTTTTCCGCCCCCGACCGAAGACACAAACAACTTCTCAGAAGGCCGGGGCGATTCTGAGAAACCCCGCCGCCTGCCGAGAAGGCCTTTTTCTGGACATGTCTGCGTGGCTCAGCAGGTTAATTGAAAGTCTCTGGTGAACACCACGAGCCTAAGCAAAGGGCGCTCGGCGGCCTCAACTCGTAGATATCAAGCTAGACCACATAGGGCCCCCCCATCACCCGTAATGTTGTGAGTGTGAAAACTGGCATGAGCAATCCTGGGGTCTCCCGAACATTTATGTGTTAGTAGCGCCCCCCCGTCTATCACCCCTTCGGACGACACCAGCGTGGCCTGTGCTCATATATGGGAACAGTTCGGCACGAGCGCCACGACGCCGCCGGCGCGGTGGCCCGCGATGAACGGCCGGGGCGAAGCCCTCCAATGGGATGTGCGAGTGATACAAGACGTCATCCAACTCGGCCTTCGCCCATGGCATTCCTGCAACGCTATAGTACTGCCCGCTGTGATGTACCTGGTGACGTAGGATGCAAGACCGCATCGAGACCTCATGGTGAATAAAGAACGAATATTCCAGGACAAGACCTGCAACGGCCAGTCAGAATCCCCAGGGCCCTTCCAGGACCGCGCGACGTTGTTAACTCCACTCCGTCTGCGAAGGATGCGCGAAACACCCGACGCCTCTCAGCCACTGCGTTCTTGCCGAGCCCAATGTCAGCCAAATTCGCGCAGCAGTAGTGCAGCTGAAAGGGATCACCACCAGGAAGGGAGCAACTTTGACAAAGCCCTTCCAGCCAGACGTCAGTTCACCTTTGGCATTGTTCGCGTAGAAATTGGCTTTTGGAGCCATGACGAACGGCGCCTTCTTGATGACCTCGAAAGCGGGCTCCCGCTCGACCTGCGCACGATGTTGGTCCCCTGCCACGGACAGTTCGTGGAAGGGGTTGCTGGTGCTGGCCGCTCGAATCCTATCTCGCGATCCTTCACCTGTTTTCCCAAAGAGCTCCCAAAACTGGCGTCACACGACGGGCAGCATAAGAATAGTTCCTATCTGAAACACAAAGCGACGAGCGACTGGTTCACCTTGAAGCTCAACGTCGGCACTGTCAAGACTGCTGCGGACCAACCAACGTTCCAAGACGTGCAAAAACGCCCGTGCGTGGAAGAAGCAAATTCGAGCGAATGATGACGATACTGCTGTCCACGGTCCTCTCGAACGAGTGGTCACATCACCAAGAACCTGCTGCAAACGTTGAACCCTCTCCTCGAGTTTGGAAATCCGCTCGTCGTGAACGGACATGTGTGCCTCCGTTTTCGCCACACGGGTCTTCGCACGCTTGGCCAGGTTGTCATACGAAGTGCGCACCATCTGCGACAGATGCTCAGAGGATGAGACCACATGGTTAGCCTGCTGTCCGACGGGGTCGATAGCAGCAGGCAGCTCATCCTTAGCCTCGCCCACGTAGCTGTGCAAACTCTCCAGTGCCAAGCCAGCGGCACCATCATCGGCACGACGAGTCGTCCCATCGCAACCAGAAACACGAGCAGCAGCAGGACTCTTACCGTGGCTAGAAGGGGTATCGCCCAGGCTGCGCGTGAACTCCTGCTCCTCACCATTGCTCCGCAGCCGAGAGTGGTGGAACAACAGGTGTTCGCTCGTAAGATGAAGTCTAGCTCTCCAGCCAGGAAAAGGGGGCGGCGCCCTACGTCGGGAAACGGGGGGGTCTCACCGAATACACCCTCAACGACCGACAAAGGGTGGTTTCGGCAAATGGCTTGAGCCAAAATGGCTACGGACTTGGAAGGCCTTTTCCTTTTCATTTCTCCCCCCCCCCTCGCTCGCCGCCGGAAATTATAATAAAGCGAAAGGCCGCACTGGTAGCCAGAAGGCTGGCTGTCGGGCACCCGTGCCCAAGGGCTGTCGGCACTGCTGGCTGGCTGGAGCTGGAGCTGGCTGTCAGCATTGCGCTGCTGGCAGCGCACGACTGCAACAGTGCACCAGTGTGGTCGTGGGACTTCGGGCTGGCAGTCAGCAGTCCGTCTCCTCCTTCTTGATGCTTACTAACCCTATCCTCCTCCTTCTCTTCCTCTATTTCTGTTCCTTACGAGTAGTTCTTCCCTGTCGCACCCCGGGACCAGTCGGAAGGGCGGGCCAAGCGTTTCGCCTGAGACTTCCTCACCACTGCTGGGCCTCAAGCTTTCAAACTGGCAGCAGCTTCACAAATGGAGGGCGGGTAATTTCCAACATGTAGCTCTCGCCTTAGCGTCGCCAACATTCGTTTCAATCATTTGCAAAAAAGGATTGAGGGCGGGTGGATTTCAAAATGTGGCGTTCGCCTTAGCGCCGCGCACACTCGTTTCAAACAGTTGCAAGAATATATCCCGAATTGCGGTCGGCTCGTTTTCAAACTGTGGTGTTCGCCTTAGCGCCGCGCACAGTCGCTCTAAACACTTCCAAGAAAAACGCGGATTGAGCGCGGTTCCTTTTCAAGCTGAGCGCCGTGCACAATCTTTTTTATGCTTTAACATAAGAGTTTCACTGATTGACGGCGGTTCCTTTTCAAAATGTGGATATCGCCTTAGCGCCAGACGCACTCCCCCAAAACAATAGCAAGAGTTTCAGTGATTTTCGCGTTTGACGTACCAAGAATGGTGTTTGGAAAGATTTGGGGCCGTCAGGGCGCAACAGTTATTTTGATGCGCGGTGTTGAAATCCCAGGAATGGTGTCCTGGAGCGATTCATGATCGTCAAAACGCATCAGTCAGGTTGACTCGTGGCGCTGAAGTTCTGAGAATGGTGTTTCGGCACGTTACTGGATTCTCACACGGTTGTGCCCAAACGGGGCACTTCCCCAGTGGAAATGAGCCCAGGGCCTATGAAGAGGGAGCTCGGAAGGAGGGTGTATTCCAACATCGTTGGTGAGTCCTGGGTTTATACTTGTCCTCCTCCTCCTCCGCGCATTCTTCGATTCCGACAACCACTGGCCAGAGAAAAAGCCAAAGTCAGCGCATCACAGGCCCTAGAACTGTGTGAAGCCAAAACGATAGTCGTCCCCATCATCCGCGGGCACGCTCCGACCACTTGCGGATTGGAGAGTCTGAGAGCAATTCGCTTGGAGTGTGCTCAGCAGGCCGTTCTGGGAGTAGTGCTTGCGCGTGGGATTGGAACCGAGCTGTGGGAAGTACTTGGACAAGAACACGACGAACTCAACGAAATCTATCACCCCATTGCCGTCCGAGTCAGCACCAGCCCACAACTGTTGCACTCGGCCTGCAGGAAGCCCAACGTGTTCCGGAACCTTGAGACACTTCAGCAGCATACTGTAGAACTCTGTCCTGTCGATCGTGCCGTTTCCGTCGATGTCGAACGAGTCGAAGTGCCTCTTGTCCGCCACCATACATTCAGCACGTCGGGGTAGCGTGTAAGAATACACGTTGTAGAGGAAGAATAATCAAACAACAAACACAAGCTATCCTTGCAACTGACCCAACCTCGCGCAGGTGTGAGTACCGCAAGGCAGGTGATCCGAAGGAAATTGGAGCTCCCTATGGGGCCACGAAACGTGTGAAGGGTGTGCCGAAATGGGGTGGGCACAGCATACGGATGCTGCCATTGCGGCATTCGGTGCTGATCCATGTGAAGCCAGGAAGTGTGTGAGTGGTGTGGCGAAATGGGATGGATACCGCGTGCGGACCCTGCCGCTGAGGCCTTCTGTGGAGCTCCCTGATGGGCCACCAAACGTGCGTCTGTCGAAATAGGGCGGGTACCGCAGCGGACCCTGCAATCTGGGGCCTCAGGTGGAGCTCCCCATGGGGGGCACGAAACGTGGAAATGTCTGCCGAAATGGAGCGGGTACCAACGGACCGTGCCTTTGGGACCTCTGGTGGATCTCGCCATGGGGCCACGAATCGCGTGAGGGGTGTGCCGGAATGGGGCGAGTACTGAATGCGGACCGTGCCACGGGGTCCTTCGGTGGAGTCCCCTGTGGGGCCACGAAGCTTGTGACGATGTGCCGAAATTGGGCGGGTACCGCATGCGGAACCTGCTAATGAGGCCTTCGGTGGAGCTTCCTGTGGGTGCTCGAAACGCGCGAGGCGTGTGGCGAGATGGGGTGGCTACCCCATGCGGACCTTCGGTGGAGCTCCTCATGGGGCCACGCAGCGTGCGAGGGGTATGCCCAAAAGCGGCGGGTACCGCGTGCGGACCCTGCCACTGGGGCCTTCGGTGGAGCTCCCTATGAGGCCACGCGGCGTGAGAGAGGTTATGTAAACCTGGGGCGGGTACCGCATGCGGACCCGAACACTTCGGCCTTCGGAAGAGCTCCTTATGGCCACGGAGCGTGTGAGAGGTGCGCCAGAATACACACGCGGAAGGCAAAGGCAGGAATGGAGGAGGGAGGAGCGGGGGGAAGTGAGGTGAGTAACGCGGGGCGCTGCTGATGCAAAACGAAGACCCAACTGAATACATAGCCGTTGTGACAAGCAGCATCAGCATAAACTGTCGGAGGTCCGCGTGGATTTATTGTATCCGATCTAGGGCCCCCTCCCTGGCGCGCGGACCGCGCCAGGGGCGGCGAGGCGCTGCCACAAGAGGGGATGCGAACTGGCTATTTGGGAAAGTTCGTGTACTTGTTAGGCGGCACGACACCGGTGGTGACACACCGCGTGATGAGCTCGGAATATGTAACGACCTCCCCAATCCTAAGTTCTTCGTTGGAGGAGGACCCATAGGTCCTTTTAGATTTTAAGTTTAGACTTGGCATGGTATGAACTCATGCGAACACAGGCGTAAGATATGGTGAACTTGGCTTTCCCCAACAATTATCCTGGCGAAGGACCCAAACATATGCAATCGTGAATACCGCAATTGTGAATATCTTCTCGGTGGAGTCCCCTACGGGGCCATGAAACGTACGAGGGGTGTGCCGAAATGGGTGTGCGGGACGCATGCGGGCACACCCACTAGGGCCTTCGGTGGAGCTCCCTATGCGGCCGCGAAACGTGTGAGGGAGTTGACGAAATGGGTGTGGCTGACGCATGCGGGCGCGGGCACTGGGGCCTTCGGTGGAGCTCCCCATGGGACCACGAAACGTTTGAGGGGTGTGCCGAAATGGGTGTGGTTGACGCATGCGGGCGCGGGCACTGGGGCCGAGGGGTGTGCCGAAATGGGTGTGCGGGACGCATGCGGGCACACCCACTGAGACCTTCGGCGGACCTCCCTATGGGGCCACGGAACGCGTGAGGGGCGTACCGAAATGGGTGTGGCTGACGCATGCGGGCGCGGGCACTGGGGCCTTCGGCGGAGCTCCTTATGGGGCCAAGAAACGTGTGAGGGGTGTGCCGAAATGGGTGTGGGTGACGCATGCGGGCGCGGGCACTGGGGCCTTCGGTGGAGCTCCCTATGGAGCCACGAAACGTGTGAGGGGTGTGCCGAAATGGGTGTGGGTGACGGTGGAGCTCCCTATGCCACGGTGCCGCGCATGCGGGCACTGGGGCCTTCGGTGGAGCTCCCTATGGGGCCACGAAACGTGTGAGGGGTGTGCCGAAATGGGTGTGGGACGCATGCGGGCGCGGGCACTGGGGCCTTCGGTGGAGCTCCCTATGGAGCCACGAAACGTGTGAGGGGTGTGCCGAAATGGGTGTGGGTGACGCATGCGGGCGCGGGCACTGGGGCCTTCGGTGGAGCTCCCTATGGAGCCACGAAACGTGTGAGGGGTGTGCCGAAATGGGTGTGGGTGACGCATGCGGCCGCGGGCACTGGGGCCTTCGGTGGAGCTCCCTATGGAGCCACGAAACGTGTGAGGGGTGTGCCGAAATGGGTGTGGGGGACGCATGCGGCCGCGGGCACTGGGGCCTTCGGTGGAGCTCCCTATGGAGCCACGAAACGTGTGAGGGGTGTGCCGAAATGGGTGTGGGTGACGCATGCGGGCGCGGGCACTGGGGCCTTCGGTGGAGCTCCCTATGGAGCCACGAAACGTGTGAGGGGTGTGCCGAAATGGGTGTGGGTGACGCATGCGGGCGCGGGCACTGGGGCCTTCGGTGGAGCTCCCTATGGAGCCACGAAACGTGTGAGGGGTGTGCCGAAATGGGTGTGGGTGACGCATGCGGGCGCGGGCACTGGGGCCTTCGGTGGAGCTCCCTATGGAGCCACGAAACGTGTGAGGGGTGTGCCGAAATGGGTGTGGGTGACGCATGCGGGCGCGGGCACTGGGGCCTTCGGTGGAGCTCCCTATGGAGCCACGAAACGTGTGAGGGGTGTGCCGAATTGGGTGTGGGTGACGCATGCGGGCGCGGGCACTGGGGCCTTCGGTGGAGCTCCTATGGGGCTACGAAACGCTGTACTGGGTGGGTGACACGCAGGGAAGAGGGGGAGGAGGGAGAAGGAGGAGGAGGAGGAGGAGAGAGGAGGAGAGGGAGGAGGAGGAGGAGGAGAGAGAGGAGAGGAGAGAGGAGGGAGAGGAGAGGAGAGAGGGGAGAGGAGAGGAGAGGAGAGGAGAGGAGAGGAGCGCGGGGCACCGTCTCTTCAAAACGAGGACCCAACACCACAGGATGGTTGGGAAAAACAATATCTTTGATGTTTTCCTTAGTCAGTAGTGCACTCACGCGAACGCGTGCTGCATTTACTTAGATGTTTCGTGTTGAAGCAAGACTTATAGACAATATACATCGACTCATGCTAAAAGCGAGGTTGCATGCTGACATGTGCGTTTCACCGCGTCGCCGCCCGCCGCCGCGGCGTCACGGCCGCCAAAGGAGGAGGAGCGAGGAGGAGGAAGAGGAGGAGGAGGAGGAGGATCGAGGAGGAGGATCGAAGAGGAAGATGGGGGAGGAAGAGGAGGGGAGAGAGGAAGAGGCGGAGGAGGAGGAGGAGGAGGCGACCGAGTGAAGTGGAGGAAGCAGGAGGAACATGAGGAAGAGGAACAGGAAGGGGAGGTGAATGGGGGAAGGCGGAGGACTCCCCTTCATCCCCATTTTCCGTCCTCTCATCCTCCCACGCCTCCCCAAGAAACCTCGAACACGGTGCCAGGCGCGTTTGGGCCAGGATTTCTAAGCTGACCTAGCCGTGGCGACGCGCTAAAAAACAACAAGCATCAATCCAGAAACATCAATCCTCGGCAGGGAGCTCGACGCGCACGGGCGGGGGCGGCGCGAGCGGCGTTCCTTCGCTCCCGCTTCCGTGGCCGCTTTCTCGCACCCCTCCTCCAGTTCCTGCCCGATCATCCTCCTACATACCCCTGCCCCTCATTCCTCCTTCTCCTCTTCCTCCTCTTCCTCCTCATTCTCCTCCTCCTCCTCCTCCTCCTCTTCCTCCTCCTCCTCCGCCTCCTCCTCCTCCTCCTCGTCCTCCTCCTCCTCCTCCTCGTCCTCCTCCTCTCCCTGATCCTCATCCACGGGGGTGACAGAAAGGGCGGATGGTGAAATTGTGGAGCGATTGCGCCTCACCCAGAGCATTTCGGGAGGTGACGGTGGGGGCGGAGGGGAGGGATGCCCCCGTCCCCAAATTGGTACTACATTAAGATTGGAGCGAGGCCTGGCGGGAAGATGGGGAAGAGGAGGAGGAAAAGAAGGAGGCGGAGGAGGAGACCGCGAGGCCTAGCGGGACAACGAAGATAAGAAGGAGAAAGAGGAGGAGGAGGAGGAGGAAGAGGAGGAGGAGGAGGAGGACGAGGAGGAAGAGCAGCAGGATGAGGAGGAGGAGGAGGAGGAGGAATAATACGATAATGATAAGCATTGCAAGGAGGAGGGAGAGGAGGAGGAGGAGGCGAATGAGGAGGAAGAGGAAGAAAAGGAGGAGAAGGCGGAGGAGCTGGAGGAGGAGTAGGAAGAGGAGGGGGAGGAATATGACGATGAGGATGAAGAGGGGGATGCGGTGGTTGTGGAGGAGGGGGGGGAGAGGAGGAGGAGGAGGAGGAGGACGAGGAGGAAGAGGAGGAGGAGGAGGAGGAGGAGGAGGAAGAGGAGGAGGTCGAGGAAGAGGACGAGGAGGAAGAGGAGGAGGAGGGCGAACAAACACACTTTGACATCAACTTGCCCCGTTGAGCCCACGTCGAGCACCCATTGAGCCCAATTGAGCCTCTTTGAACATGCGTGGGGCCTCCGCTGAGCACCGTTGAGCCCCCGTTGAGCTCCAGTTGAGCCTCCGCGGGATCCCCGTTGAGCCTCTGCTGGGCCCGTTGGGCCCCGTTGAACCACGTTGCGCCCCGTTGAGCATCCGTGAAGCCCCGTTGAGCCCCGTTGGGCCCCTGCTGAGTCCTAGTTGAGCTCCCGCGGAATCCCTGTTGAGCCTCTGTTGAGCTCCGTTGAGCCCCGTTGGGCCACGTTGCGCCCCGTTGGGCCCCGCTGAGCACCGCTGAGCCACGTTTAGCTTCGTTGAACTCGGTTG